ATAATTTTACTAACCTGTCTGTAACTTTTTTTGTCAAAGTACAGCTTTAAATGTTGATAAATTTACGAAAGTTTACGGTGTTTTCTCGATATTTTTCTCTGTGACTATGCGGGATGCTCGCATCCTGCTACTGGACAAATTTTTCAAAATAAAACTCTGCTGTTCATTGGCTGTAGCAAGTTTCGTCGTAAGTAACGAACGAAATCGCTGACGACGAAACTTGCTACAGCCAATGAACAGAAGAGTTTTATTTTGAAAAATTTGTCCAGTAGCAGGATGCGAGCACAGAGGAAGTATATACAGAGGGTTCACTCAAGCCAAAACCAGTCACACGCACGATCGATCCATACTGCGCATGCGTAACCTCCCAGCCAGTACCGTGAAATTTTTTTATAAGGAAATAGATGGGGAAATCCGAATTTTTGTCATAAAAACAGCGATTTTAACGAAACTATCCAGGTGATTTGCTGTTTCGTTTTAATTTCAAGAAAATGGGTTAGACTGGACATTTTTAACAACAAATGGGGCTACAAACACTACTTGAACGCTGCGAAAAGGGAAAATTATACTCGAAGGAGTGAAGTTCGAAACTTGTGTTGACAAGTCAAAAAGACATCAAAAAGTTGTTCTACACGATGTTGTATACTCCAGGTGTGTCGTTTTTGCGGCAGGAAAGCTCAGAAGTTGTTCGGAATTGACATTCCAGTATATTTTGTATCGTATAATGTTCAGGTAAGAGCATAATTCACTTTTTTCAACGAGAAAAAACTAGCAAAAAACAAGTCTCGACCAAAATGTCTCAGTCTTTGAGAGTTCGATACGTGTGTTGATCTGATTTAAATTGTGTATTTTGATTGTCAGGATATTAACCCATTAAGTACAAACTGAACTTGCCAAGCAGAGAGTCTTGCCACTGAAATATATTCCCGGCAAATAGTTTTGTTCGCTTTATAGGATATCACAATCTGTGGGCCGACCGCTCCTTCAACTTTCAAAATCAAATAAAAGTTTTTCAAAAGCTCAATCGTACTTCTTATGTGAATAGAAAAGATCACTTACTGTTATTGTTGAAAAATTTTGTCCAGATATGAAGCTCGAAAGCGTCTTTTCCTTAAAAATGCCACTTTTTGCATTTCGAACTACGTTTTCCCTATAGTTTTGACTGAAAACGCAGCGACGGTACTGGCTGCGGCATATTAAATTTTTTTTTGGAATATTTAATTTGCTTTTGATGGCGTGTAAATGACGTCAGCTTCGCAAATCCGTGTGACGTCCTAAACACAACACCGCGGAAAAACGTCTGCGCATGCACCAAATTATGAAAATATGGCGTAATGGCGGGAAATTTGAATATCAATTTCTAAAACAAAAACATGCTTATTAATTGGTCAAAAATTAGTAAAATTAACGAGAAAATATAGCAAATGGGTAGACTAGACATTAATTGAAAGCGTCCTGGCATTTAAAGTATGGAATGAAATATAATTCATGTAAAAAATTGTTGATTTTAACGGACACGACTTCAAAAATATTTGCAAAATTATTCAAAACAAAAATTCAAACTAAAAAGTTAAGAAAACTCTCGAAAAGTTAAGCTTCTTAACCCACTCAAATTGTAGAATAAATCCTAAAGTTTAATTATTGTGAACACGAAAATTTTTTATATTTGGCGACACAGTTTTTTTTAAAGAAATGTATCTCAAACGAAAATTCGGAAATTGTCGTTGCTTAGTTGACAAACAAAATGTTTTACACGATAAATTTGTCAACAATCACCTTTAGTTCATGTTCTTGTACAATACCGAGGGGCAATTCACTCCAAAAATCCCGTACACTTCGTCAAAAAATCCGGAAAATATCCAGAAAAAATCCATGAAATCCTCAAAATCCGTTGAATCCATCAAAATCTGAAAAATCCTTTAAAAACCACAGAAATCCTTCAAAAATCCACAGAAATCCTTCAAAATCCTCAAAAAATCCGCAAATCCACAAAAAATATATAAAGTACTTGGTGTAATTTACTCGTAAAGGTTCTTTGTCACGTTCAAAATGGCGGACAGCGAAAGCTAAACGCTTACCGTGATCGCTGTCATTATATTTCGTAATTATTGGACCACTCTACATTTCCATTTATACGCTCGAGTATATGCTCCCCCACTGATGGAATGTTTTGATGCGCAGAATATATGCGCAGAAAGGAATTTACCGCATCTTTAAGATTATTTGTTCAAAACGTTACCTAGCTCTATAACTCTATAATTTTAAAAAATCCAGAAAAAATCCGAACAAATCCGGAAAATCCAAACAAATCCGGAAAATCCAACAGATTTTCAAAAATCCAGAAAAAAATCCGAACAAATCCGGAAAATCCAGCAAATTTTCTCTTCAAAAATCCACTAAAAAATCCGGGAAAAATCCGCTAAATCCGCTAAAAAATCCGCGGATTTTTAAAAATCCGAAAATCCCGTACGCTTTTTTGGAGTGAAATGCCCCTCGTACAATACAATTTCTTGAATCTTCTGGCTGTATTTATTCCTAGTTTTTAGAATGACATGTTTATTTTTGCGCTCGAAATCTGGCTGTAAAGACGCACAATGAAGTCACTCCTTTTTCCCGCCATTTTGAGCCTTCGGAAACGTTCGGAACAGCTTCTCATCAAGTTCGCAATACTATTACAGGTAAGGTTGACGCATGCGCAGACGTTTTTCCGCGGTGTTCCTAAACACTGCATTTTTCACCGAGTGAACCACAGATGAGGTAATACAGATGTGAATCTCCTGTGAAAATGTGTCACACGGATTAAATAAACTTTAAAATTGTATTAATTCACTATTTTATTAAATTTTGATAATGCAGAGGAATAAAACTATACATATTATAGAAGTATTCATGTTTTTTTTATGCGTGAGTTATGTTTTGAGGCATTTATATCATTCGCTGTTTTGTTATTATACACGAGCATCTGAAATTCCCAGCAAGTGTATTTCACGATTTTAATAAGAAGTAGATAGGGGAAAAAACAAACTTTTGCTAAATAAAATGTTATATTAACACTTTTAATAAAAAGAAATCAATAAAAGTGATCGCTTACCGTTACTCTTGAAGAATTAATTCCAAAAATAGCCGTCGGTAGCGTAGACTTTTTAAAAAAACAATTTTTCGTCTTTCGAACGGCGTTTTCCTATCTCTTTCCTTATTAAATTTCAGAACGACACTTGCCAGCGCTCGCCGGAAGTGAGAATTCCGTGTGACACAAAACAATCAGCAATTTCACAGGAGATTCACATCTGTACTTACCTCATCTGTGGAGTGAACCCTCTTTATATCTTTACTCTTTGATGCGAGCATCCCGCATAGTCACAGAGAAAAATATCGAGAAAACACCGCAAACTTTCGTAAATTTATCAACATTTAAAGCTGTATACTTTGACAAAAAAAGTTACAGACAGGTTAGTAAAATTATCCTTGTTTATGTTTATGTTGTTTTTAGGGCTAGTTTCTTTCTGCTTTTTAAAATATTACGGATATATTTCTTGTGTGTAGTTCAATCAGTTGAAACCCCTTGCCAACCTTAGGTATACTTTAATATACGTCAGTTCGCCGATAGGTCAATCGAGTGGAGATTTAATATAAGCTACAGTTGGCAATATATTTCGCTAATTTGTGATTATTTTCGTTAAATTTTATAATTTCATTGTAGTTTTAATTTAAATTCAGTCGTTTAGTGGGCTGCCTATGATTTTGACGACATATTTTCGTTTTTGTCAAAGCGCGGACGTATTTAAAATGGTGTTTTCTCCTCGTTGAGATAGGTTGAAATAAATTTGAACACACCAAACTATAGACATTTAACTTGGCTTTATGTTTCACGTAAAATTGAACGGGGCTTTTTTGTGCTTTTTTCATAAAATGGAGGTATTTTGCAGCCTTTATAGTTTTCCGTAACACTGTCACTGTAATGTCAACGACTGCAGTCGCACGAAAAAAGATTCACACACTGAATATTTTTCAGGCGGCAGTTAGTTATACCAATAATAGAAATCAAATCAATTAGTAAAAAACACTTTACAATGAACTTTCAATGGATTCCGAGCAGGCCGGCTCATGGTTAACACAAAAACGGTTATATATTTAAGTTTTCAAATTGTTCGAGCAAATTGTAGTTGTTTTTTCAAATTCTAGCTGTTTTAAATGCATGCATGGTCAATTTTTGGCTATATAATTATTGAAAAATAATAGCCAAGCAATGTCAGAATATTCTTACTGTGAAAATGTTTATCGTACCTTCGCATTATGAAGTAAAATATCCCATTTCATACCAAAATTTTCGTATAATATTTTTGGAATATGCCCACATTCGATCAGCTCGATTCCTTTTCAAATTTTTATTTCTCACATGATGAATCTTTTTAAAGCCCTCTTTCCTTCATCAGATATACAGAAAATGAATCCAACAATGTCTTCAAACCATCAAGTTGTTTAGGAATGTGCAGAAAACAGTTTTTACTTTAGTTTTTTCAGCTCTTTTTTGCATAAACATTCCAATTCCATTTTTATTGACATTAAATTAATGTATACGGGGGGTACGCGCATCACACAAAGATCAGGGGCGCTATCTCCGTTTCACCGCCCGTGTTTTATAGCGCCCTGACTCAATGCAGAAGTAGTTGCACGTTGTGCTACCTTGACACATCCAAAGCGTGTGGTCCCGACCGCATTCCAACTAGTCTTCTGCAAGTATGCAGCTTCCAAATTGCACCCAGCTTTTGTGAACTATTCAATCATTCGCTGCACACTGGTCAGATCCCATCTGAATGGAAATCTGCCAATGTTACGCCTGTCCACAAGAAAGATCGTAAATAACCAGCAGAAAATTATAGACCTATTTCTTTGCTTCCCATCCTCGGAAAAGTCCTGGAACGTGGCGTGTGTTTCAGACCTTATGATCATGTCAAACATTTTATCACCAAACTTCAACATGGCTTCCTCAGACAACGTTCATGTGTCACTCAACTCCTATCTGTTCTTCATACTATCGGACAATCTCTCGACAAGAACACCCAAACAGACATCGTTTACCGAGATTTTGCAAAGGCATTTGATTATGTTGACGACAATATTCTTCTCCACAAACTTAATCTTTATGGCGTATCAGGACAATTGTATGCATGGTTCGAAGACTATCTGAGCGGTTGTTGTCAACGAGTTGTGGTAGATGGAGTTGCATCTTCCTGGGCGCCTGTAACATCTGGTGTGCCACAAGGAAGTATCCTAGGACCTGTTCTGTCTGCGATCTTTATAAATGATCTTCCTAATGTACTACCAGACGAGACCTCGGCAGCATTGTGTACAAATCTATTAAATCGGAAGCTGACTGTAAAATTCTACAACACGGCTTGATCAGCCTTGAATGTTGGAGTAGTGATAACAACCTAGATTTCAACCAGTCGAAATGTAAGGTGCTGACCATCACACGAAAAAGACTCCACTCGTGTATGTTACCACATGAATTCAAAAGAACTCTTGCGTGTGGATAAGGAGAAAGACCTTGGTGTTTGAGTCAGTGCCAATTTCAATTGGGATGTTCACATCCACTCAATCACTGGTAAGGCTAACAAGATGCTTGGGCTGCTGAAACGAACTTGCCCTCTTTTGAGAGACAAAACAGTACGACGAACGCTGTATCTCTCGCTTGTTAGATCTCAGCCATTAAAATAGTAAAATTATAACAATGAAGCAAGAAATAATGTATTGATATCTGTACCAAAATTGGGTAGAGAAAATTGACCTCTTGGTATCATAAAATTGCAAATTTGCAATAATTACTATATTAATTAACATTAATTTTTGAGTTATTGTATACTAGAATCAATCATTCAATGATAGAAAAATATTTACATCCACAACTTTTAAGTTCGTTAGAACAAACGTTTGAGGATTTGTTTTATATAAGATGCCCAAGAATCCAAATACAATTCGAAGATGACTGTAATTGACGTTCACGTTTTATCGTTGTCTTCATTGCGCATTTATCGCCTCCCTGCATATATTAAACCACCATCGGCGAACTGTTTGTCAGGTTGAGCTCGGTTTTCTGTGCTGCCGAATATTACAAGACCAGTCAAAACCTT